TTTGAGTAGTATTCAAAGTTTTGAAATTAAAAATTAATTTTTTAGTGATATTTTAAAATTTTGAAAAAAATTTTATGTTATTTTTAAATTTAACTTGAATAAAAAATAATAAAATAATCATTAAGTACATGTGAAATGATTACAAGTTAGTTATGGTTTTTACTATTAAATTTTTTTTTATATTGTATTTAATGGCGTTTTTCATGAAAAACACTTTAAATAATTCTATTTAATTTTTTTAAGGACTATTAAAGATGTTTTTTGGCAAAAAAATGTGTTAAATAATTCTAAAAAAAATTGACCAACATTATTTAAGGTGTTTTCTGGTAATAAATACTTTAAATAATCTGATTCAATTTTTGTAAAGATTATTTAATACATTTTTACCAGAAAACGTCAACGTCTTAAATAATCATCTATTAAAAATTGAATAAAATTATTTAAAGCATTTTTTGACTAAAAACCATCTTAAATAATCCCCTAAAAAATTGATCAATGTTATTTAAGCGTTTTTTGACTATAAATACCTTAAATAATCTCTAAAAAAATCTTATAAGTAATATAAAAAAATAAACACTAGATGGAGGGGTCAAACCTACAACTTTATATTTAATAGCCATACGTTCTAACTAACTGAGTTACTCCAATCTTTTAGGTAATAAAATGAATTATTTAAGTCTTATAAGTAATCCCCAAAAATAAATGTTAGAGGGAGGAGTCGAACCTATAATTTTATGATTAATAATCATATACTCTAACCAATTGAGTTATTCCAAATTTTTTTATATTTTATCTCTTAAATCTTATAAGTAATGAAAAAAATTATTTAAGATATTTTTAGTAAAAAACATCTTAAATAGTGTTCTTAAAAAACATTAAAGTAGTAGAATGAGTAATAAACCTATAACCTTATAATTAATAACCATATACTCTAACTGATTGAGTTACTTTAGTTATTTAATATTTTATCTCTTAAATCTTATAAATAATAAAAAAAAATATTTAAAGTGGCCTTAAATAATCCTTTCGTATTTTTTAAATGACATTTATTTAAGGTGCTTTTGGATCATACCTTAAATAATTCATTTGAAAAAAATAAAAATGATTATTTAAAGTATTTTTCAATAAAAAACATCTTAAATAATTCATAACTTTTTTTATTGATGATATTTTATTAAAAAAATCAAATAAAATATTTATTTTTTTTATTGTTAAAAGTATAATTTGTTATTTGAATATTTATTATTAATAAAAATCAATAAAAATGTATTATCATATATATAAAAAAAATTATGATAATTATTCATAAATTAATATATGTATATTCTCTTCAATTAAATAAATAAATTTATTTATAAAATATCTTAAAAATAAAAAAAATCTTAAATATCGTATTTTTTAAAAAATTATATTTATTTTCAGAATTCAAAATTTCGTGAACCTCGTACCCTCCAAATTATAAATGATGTGACCTTCTGAACGAGCATGTCTTCGAGGCGATTGTTACGGACGAGTGCTCCTAGATTTCCCCGTTATATTTTGTCGGGACACGAACATCTTTAAGTGGCCGGTTCTCAACCACTCAAGCACTGTGTCCTTTCCCCTGAATGTCGGGCTTCCAAACTTTATCAACTGGTCAAATCACGTTCATCACATGCCTACTCTCGAATTTTAGAAATAGCTTCAATTATTGATTCCAAGTACCTCAAAAATTGTTTTTCTTTTTCTTTTTTAATTTTTTAAAGAAACAAGATTATGAGTCATTGTAGCTTGTGAGCTAAACTTTTTAGCTTCGCGAAGTCAAGAGAGAGATGGCTGGAAGAAAAGTAAAAATGCTTTTGAGAAGTTATAAGGTACATCTTAAGGGGAGTTTTAAGTAGTATTCAAAATTTTGAAATTTTTGTGATAATTTAAAATTTTGAAAAAATAATTATATTATTTTTAAATTTAATTTAAATAAAAATTAATAAAATAATCATTATTATTTAAAAAAGTATGTGTAAAATGATTACAAGTTAGTTATAATTTTTACTGTCAATTTTTTTTATATTGTATTTAATGGCATTTGTCATGAAAAATATTTTAAATAATTTTATTTAATTTTTTTATGGACTATTAAAGATGTTTTTTTGACAAAAAATAAATTAAATAATTCTAAAAAAAATTGACCAGTATTATTTAAAACGTTTTCTGGTCATAAATACCTTAAGTAATCTGACTCAATTTTTTTAAAGATTATTTAATACGTTTTTGCCAGAAAACGCCAACGCCTTAAATAATCATCTATTGAAAATTGAATGAAATTATTTAAAGTATTTTTTAACTAAAAACCATCTTAAATAATCCCCTAAAAAATTTATCAATGTTATTTAAGACGTTTTTTTAGCTATAAACACCTTAAATAATCTCTCAAAAAATGTTATAAGTAATCCAAAAAAAAAAATACTAGAGAGAGATCAAACCTACAACTTTATATTTAATAGCCATACATTCTAATTAATTGAGTTACTCAAATCTTAATAAAATGTATTATTTAAGTCTTATAAGTAATCCCCAAAAATAAATGTTAAAGGGAGGGGTCAACCTATAATTTTATGATTAATAATCATATGCTCTAACCAATTGAGTTACTTCAATTTTTTTTTATATTTTATCTCTTAAATCTTATAAGTAATGAAGTAGATTATTTAAGATATTTTTGATCAAAAACGTCTTAAATAATGTTCTTTAAAAACATTAAAGAAAAACATTAAAGTAGTAGAATGAGCAATAAACCTATAATCTTATAATTAATAGTCATATGCTCTAACGGATTGAGTTACTTTAGTTATTTAATATTTTATCTCTTAAATTTTATAAATAATGAAAAAAATTATTTAAGGTGACTTTAAATAATTCTTTCATATTTTTTAAATAATATTTATTTAAAGTACTTTTGATCATAATCGCCTTAAATAATTCATTTGAAAAAAATAAAAATGATTATTTAAAGTATTTTTCAATCAAAAACACTTTAAATAATTCATAACTTTTTTTATTGATGATATTTTATTAAAAAAATCAAATAAAATATTTATATATTTTTTACTATTAAAAGTATCATTTATCATTTGAATATTTATTATTAATAAAAACCAATAAAAAAATATCATTATATATGTCAAAAAATTATGATAATTATTCATAAATTAATATATATATATATTCTCTTCAATTAAATAAATAAATTTAATTATAAAATATCTTTAAAATAAAAAAAAATTTCAAATATCGTTTTTTTTTTTTTCAGAATTCAAAATTTTGTGAACCTCATACCCTCCAAATTATAAATGATGTGACCTTCTGAACGAGCATGTCTTCGAGGCGATTGTTACGGACGAGTGCTCCTACACGAACATATTTAAGTGGCCGGTTCTCAACCACTCAAGCACTGTCTCCTTTCCCCTCAATGTCGGCCTTCCAAACTTTATCAACTGCTCAAGTCACGTTCATCACATTGCTACTCTCGAATTTTAGAAGTATCTTCAATTATTGATTCCAAGCATCTCAAAAATTGTTTTTCTTTTTCTTTTTTAATTTTTTTACCTGTTAATCACATTTGCCATTGATGCTTTTGATTGCCAAGTTAAAAAAGTTTCACCTAATTATACATACAGCCATTGTTTTTTTTATAAATAATATATATATATGTTAAATGGTTTGTGTTTATCTAAATTGATAATTATTGATGATGTTTTAAGATGTTGATAAGAAAAAAAATGATTTGAAGATTGCATGAAAGATGTTTTGGATTTGTAGTAGAAAAACATTATTAAGAAATATTAGAGTTGATTTTTGGAATATCTTTCAACTTTCGAATCAATAAAATATTTAAGGTTTAAGTGAAAAATAAAGTAATTATAAAAAGTATTTAAGAAATTGAAGGAGGAAGAAATTTTAATTTATACATAGCTTTTTTTTTTAATTTTATTTAAAGATAAAGTATTTAAGAGGAAGTATAGTGACATGATCAAAACACGTGATGATTAATTATAGGTTTACGTGAAATTTAAAGAAAGATTACGTAAATAAATGTGAATTACATTTAATGATTTTAAGTAAATTAAAAATTAATTAAATTATTATAAAATGTTTTAATAAGATATTAGTGTAGATAATTGGGTAAATCTTTTTTTGGCAAGAGTTCGTTGGTTTTGTAGCAAAGAAGTTGAATATCGATTTTTTCTTGTGGTGACATAATAATTAAATATGTATTAACTTAATAATTATGAGAACTGATCTTATTGATCAGTGATAAGTATAACAATGATTAAAAAGTTTTAGTACAGCTTTATAATTTTAACTTAAAAGAAAAGATTGATTATTTTTAATGAAGGGAATTAGGATTTCCTAGATAGATACATTAAGTAATTTACTTCAATTATTTTGTGCTTGACTGGGTTGATTTAGTACGTATGTGATATTCTTTCATGGTCCCACTCCACAGTTTTTTTTTTTGTCATGATACTTTAATTGATGAAACGTGTTAAGCAACTACTATGAATTTACACTTTGTAATTCTGGGACAGTGCTACAATTGGCAACGTGTCAATTTTGAAAGTATATTCTTTATAATTATTATATTATAATTATTAAATTATAATTTAATATTATATAAAATTTATTTAAAAAAATGTAGGATTCATATTTTTATAGGGGGGATTTTTATATAATTTTTTTTATGTAATTGATTAATTATAAAATTATAATAAAATAAATTATAAATGATATATTTCCATTGAATTCAGTGCAAAAATTTAAAAATCCAAATTTTATTTTTTTATATTTAAAATTATTAAAATTAAATTTTATAATAAATTAAAATTTTAATGTTTTATCAAAATATGTCAACAAATGTGAAAAAAAAATAAAAATCAAATCTTGAATCACATGATACCGCTTATCCGTATACATTTATAATGCTTAACAAAGAATTCTATAAATAGAGAGCTTTGCTTATCGAACATCATCAACAATTCAAAGACATACCATGGCGTTGTTTTCCAAAGTTTTTTCCTCATTTCCGAATTCTCCAATTGCTATGAACAAAACTTCACTAATCAACAATTCTAACGTTATTTGTCCTACTTCGTCGCTTTTGATTCCCAGAAGCGCTGCTCAAGATCCCAGAATCGTTTCTACGGCCTTAGAACACTTTGATCATCGAAGTGGACACCCCACCATTACTGTGAGCTTTTGCTTTTTTGTTCTTTCGCCGTTTCAATCCTTGCATTTCTTTTTTATTATTCACCAACTCTCTAACCTTGCAGGATGAATTTCGCATTCAACATTCAAACAAATTGGAGGCGTTCAAACGTATATTTAGGGAAGTTGGTGAAGATCCATTACAAGGTTTGGTCATGATTGATGCTATCCAGAGGCTAGGCATCGACCACCATTTTCAAAATGAGATCGAAAAAGTTCTGCAAAAGCAGTATGTGTTATCTTGCAGTAATGGTTTTGATGACCATGATCTTCACGAGGTTGCCCTTCGCTTTCGATTACTTAGACAAGAAGGTTACTTCGTTCCAGCAGGTGTACAGAAGTGAAAATTCGAGCCTTTTTTATAGACAGATCAGAGTATTTTTTGTTCTATTAATGAACTAACGCAAATGGTTTTGATATAAAGCAGGCGTGTTTAACAGGTACAAAGACAGAGAGGGCAGTTTCAGACATGAACTAGGCAGGGACATCATAGGATTGATGGAATTGTATGAAGCTTCACAGCTGGGCATAAAGGGAGAAGACATTCTTGATGAAGCCAGAGAATTTAGTTCTCAGATCCTGGAGAAATGGCGAAATGCAGAAGTGGGCCTTTTGTCTGGAGGAGTAATAAGGAAAACACTGGACCAACCTTACCATAAAAGCCTATCAAGATTCACAGCTAGAAACTTACTAACTAATTTCCAAGGCACAAACGGATGGATAAACATCCTCCAAGAACTAGCAAAACTGGATTTCAATATGGTTCAGTCCTTGCATCAGCAAGAAATAGTTCGCATTTCCAAGTAAGATTTGAGCACAACTAAAAGCTTTGTTTATATATTTTCCTAATTTTTTGTCCTTTCCCAAAAATACGTACCCAACTCTAATTTTCTTGTATGTTTCATGAATGTGCAGTTGGTGGAAGGACCTGGGTTTAGCTAAGGAGTTGGCGTTTGCCAGAGACCAACCATTGAAATGGTACATTTGGTCCATGGCTTGCCTCACTGATCCAAGCTGGTCAGAGCAACGGATTGATCTCACAAAACCCATTTCCTTAATCTATATAATCGACGACATGTTTGACGTTTATGGGAAACTTGATGAACTAACTCTCTTTACCCAAGCTGTCGATAGGTAATGCATCAACGTTCAGTAGTACACATTATTAAGTACGTACATACGTACATACGTACATACTATAGTTATATACATATATAATTCTTTTTTATTAAACTCTTCCCTATATTATAATTTGTTGACGAATTCTTTCATTTAATAATTTGCATGTATAGATGGGATTACTCTGCCATTGATGGACTGCCAGATTACATGAAAATATGCTTTAAAGCTCTGAATGATATCACTGATGAAATAAGCCACAAGGTGTATAAGGAGCATGGGTGGAACCCAGTCAACTCCTTAAGGAAGGCGGTAGGAAGGCTGGTCAACTCTTTAACAAATATAGTGTATTTATTTATTATTATTCTTATAGGATAATTGAGAAGTCAAGGAAAAAAAAACCTCTCTATATCTATATACTATTTGTGATATGTTGGATTAAATTTGATATCACCAGTTAAATGAAACAGACTCAATTGATAAATTTATATAAAACCGAACTATAATAACAATAATAAATATAAAGTCGCAAAAAAGGAAAATGACAATCAATATTGCATATCATTTTGGGTGGAAATCTCTTTCATTTTCTTTTTTCACTTTCCCGACCTTCAGTTGGTGGGTTTTGGTTATTGCAGTGGGCCACTTTGTGCAGAGCATTTTTGGTAGAAGCACGATGGTTTGGTTCAGGGAAGCTGCCAAAGGCTGAGGAGTATTTGGAGAATGGAATAATCAGTTCAGGAGTACACATTGTGCTAGTTCACATTTTCTTCCTCCTTGGCCAAGGCTTAACTAATCAAAATGTGGAACTAATTGACAACAATCCTGGCATCATCTCATCCACTGCAACAATCCTTCGCCTCTGGGATGACTTGGGAAGTGCCAAGGCACGTAACTAATTCTCCATCTTCAAAAACACATACGTACAATTAATCAAGCCATGTTAACTCTCTGATTAAATTGAATTACATTTATTAATTGTAGGATGAGAATCAAGACGGGCACGATGGATCCTATGTTGATTGCTTCATGAAAGAAAATCAAGGCATTGCAGTTGAAAGTGTTAGGCAACATGTTATCAATATGATTTCGAATGCTTGGAAGGGCCTCAACCAGGAATGCCTCTCCCGAAATCCATTTTCGTTGTCTTTCGCCAAGGCTTCTCTAAATATTGCAAGGATGGTTCCGTTGATGTACAGTTATGATGAAAAGCAAAGCCTTCCAAGCTTGGAGGAGTATATGAAGTCCCTCCTTTATGAAAGTGTACCCATGAAAACACTTTTCTGAAAACGACATACTCTTGCCTAACAATGTTTGAAATTAATTTCAAGTTCCCAAAAGTTTATGCAAAATAAGTATCTGCAACTACGAAAAATTTAGTGGTATCTTATTGCAAACTGTTTGGATTGGTGGCTTAACATGGGCAGGCTCCCCACTTGCTTTATTTTTTTGGTTTTCATGTCTTGCCCTTGTTATCCTTTGGTTCCTTTTGGTTTCATTAATGCCACTTTAGTAAGTACAAGAAAAGGTGATTATATATAAAAGCAAAATGAATGGACTTTTCCATTTGGTGTCTTCGGCTGGTGGAAACGAAAATGAGAGAGTTTAGTAGATCTGATTAAGAGTTGGATTATCTATTTAAACTCAAAAATTTACCCAAATTTTAAGAAAATTTAGATAAAAAATTAATTTTTTTAAAATGGATTTAGATATAATTTTTAAATTCGTTTAAATTTCGGATTAGATTTTAAATAAAAGATTTAAAGTCCAAAAATAATTCGACTTGAATTCATATATATATATTTTTCATTTTTATTTATATGTGAATTATATATAAATTAATTCACATATATATATAAATAAAAGTTATATATATTTTATTAAACTTAAATTTTATTTTTATATAATTTTTATTTTAATTTTTACAAAAATAAAAATTAAATTTAATAAAATATATATAAATTTTATTTTTATTTTATATATATATGTGAATTAAATATAATTCCATTAAATTTAATTTTATCACATTTAAATTTTTTATTATATAAATTAAGTTTAATTGATTGATTTAAAATTTATTTTTTTTAATTTTAGCCGAGTTTAAGAAAAATTTGAGGATTGAACTCAAATAAGTATATAAATTATTAATAATAAGTATGAGCATGATCAAAACCCGATTCGGCTTAACCCATGAATACCTGTAAATTTAATGACATTTGGGTTAGCTTTGTAAAAACCTAATGAATGATCAGTAAAATCATGCATGCCCTAACTAATTATTTTTTATGTTGTTATTCACTTTTGGTATGGGAAGTGAATCATAAAATTATAAGTGAAAAAATTTTTTTCAAGAAGAATGTAAGTGAGAAAATTCCAAACTTTTAGGGACATACATGAGATTTACCCTTCTATTATTCTTTCTCTTGTATATACAATCGGTACACAAGGATCATTTAGCAACACATTTTAAGGCTATGGGATATCTTCAAAGTTTGAACATAGTCTATAACTTTTAGCAGTGATTGTTGAAGGTATGTCTTCAAACATGTGTTTCATGTAAAAACATATTGTACAGCAGACAGCAAAGTTTGTTCCATCATATGTAAATGCATGCAAAGCTAGCTTATGTTTGCACAACTTTTAGCAGTGATTGTTGAAGGTATGTCTTCAAACATGTGTTTCACGTAAAAACATATTGTATAGCAGACAGCAAAGTTTGTTCCATCATATGTAAATGCATGCAAAGCTAGCTTATGTTTGCACTACGTTTGTCTATGCAAAGCTAAATACATTTAAAAAATGAGGGATGTCTAACTAACTAAAAATTCGAATGTTGCGCAAAGTCATAGTTGTAGATAGAAAAAGAATATCACGACATCATCTCTCTGTCAATTAAGTCAAATAATAAAACGTGAAAGAGGAAATCGAGCATGATATTAAGCCAATAATTAAGACAAAGAGTAGCCAAAGATGGAGCTCTCATGTTCAATGATCAACAAAATAATTGAAGTAACAGTAGCCTAAAAGTACTCATTACAGATTTTACATCTATTGATTATTGCAAATTCACATCTATTATATTTAATTCTTTATTACAGTTTTCAATTCGATCTATCTAGAAAGCTAATCTTTGTATTGTAATTTCTTTTAAGAAATTATTTGATATATTGATGGTAAAATTTTTTAATTTTACAACTAAAATTAAGATAATGACATATGTCTTATTTTTTTTAATTAATTTTTTTAAACATATAAAAAGTATATGTTACCATCTTAATTCAATTTGCGGAGTTAAAAAAAAATTATATTATTATTGTATTTGATAATTTTTTTTATATTTTTTATATAAAGAAAGGATAATTTCTTAAGGATTCACAAAAAAACTCAGTGAGATCCTATAATTTTTTTTTCTTCCCAAATTTCATCAATTAACACTCAACTAAGTACTACCTAATAACTATTTAGTGTTTTCTTTATGAAACCTTAATTAACGACCAACTATGGTTTTTGACGATGCCCTTAGACAATAATTAAAACAAGACATCTACTGTTAAAAACTTTGATAGTGAGAGAGACAGAGAGAGAGAGAGTTAAGGAAGAATTAAAAATATATATTGATTTCGTGAAAAATGATTTTTATATTTTTTATATTTATTTGATAAAAAATTAATTGATCAATGAAAAATAACTTATTGATAAATAAAAAATAACTTATTTTTCTAAAATTATTTTTCCCTTAAGACAATTTTAAAAAAAAATTATCTATAGATAAAATTATTTACCAAACTTGTGAGCATAATTCTATTCGAATTAAACCTTGAACATGATTTTTTCAAGCTCGAATTTAATTTAACCTAACCTAAAATATTATTATATTAATAAAAATATTTTTATTTAATTTTACATAAAATATTAAAATATTAATATAAAAAATCTTCTAATATTTTAATTTTAAAAATATTTTTATAGTTCTATTCAAGTAAGACCTTGATATTTTCAGGTTAAGCATTATTTAATCCAATATGAAACAATATTATATTAATAAAAATATTTTATTTAATTTTAATTAAAAAATTAACTTTAAAATTCTTTTGATATTTTAATTTTAAATATTTCTATTTTTAATGTTATTAAACATAAATATTTTTAATATTTCAAAAATAAATACTATTATGTTATTATTTTAATAATAAATAATGATATATTAAACAATATTTTTATTATTTTAATAAATAATATATAATAATATAATAATATTATTTTAAAAATGAATATTTTTAATAATTTAAAATATTATTTTCATATTTTATTTATTAATATATTTATATTAGTATTTTTAATAATAAATATAAATAACTAATATTTTGTTATGATTTAATAATAGATACTTTCAATATTAAATATAACTATTTTAATAGTATAAATATGATTAATACTTTAATAATAAATATTACTATTTTTATTGTTATAATACTAATAAAAAATATTTTAAGAATAGTAATATTTTTTAAAATATTGTAAAATATTAATATAAATAATAAAATATTTTAGTTTAAGCATTTTAAAATTAATATAATATTTTAATATAAAATATTATTATTAAAATATAATTTTTTTAAATATTAATAACTTTAATAATAAATAATTTCAATATATTTTAATTATAGATAACTTCAATATATTTTAATCATAAAAAACTTTCAATATTTTAATATTATGTTTATATTATTTTAAAAAAATAGATTTTTCAAAAAAAAAAAAAAACAAATAATAAAATACGTTTTTCATTAACTTATCCATTTAACAAAAAAATTTTACTTTTTTAAAAAATATAAATATTTTTGAAGAAATAATTTTTGAAAACTAGTTTCTATAAAACAAACGGAACCGAAGTATTTGCCTATTCCTCATGCTTATTTATGGCTTCTCTTTTGTAGAATGAAAAAGAATTTTGCATTTGAGCAAGCAAAGTAATTAATCAGAGGGATTCAATAGTAAATATAAATAGTACAAAAATGTGTAATAGTAAATTAATTTGTTTATAATTTTTTATGCCATTGACATTAAATATATATTTACTTTTCTAATCAATAAGATAAATTTTGTAAATGTACAAAGAATAAGACTCTTTGTTTAGAGTGCCACGTGGCTATTTCATGATTCTCCTTTTTATTTTGTTTTTTGATTTTTTTTTTAAATATATGAGAATAAAAAAAGATAGTTGTTCTTTGATTTAACAAGGAAAAATGAGTGAGGAGTAAGTAAAAGGTTTCTGACATGAAAAGTTAACAAACACCACGTTTTAACATAAAAAAAATGTAGTTGAAAAGCTAATAAAGAGTTGGTCTTTCTTTCTATACGAAATATTTTAATACAATCTAAAAATTTCAAAAACCATATTTCTTATAGAAACGTGATTTTTGAAAAGCTAAAGCATGTATTTGTCACGCCTCATTTTGAATATTATATTGCTTTCATGAGGTTTGAAATGATTTAAGATTCAAAATAAATAAAAAGTAAGAGAATTAAATACTCAAAAAAATGAAAAATAAGAGAATTAAATACCAAAATAAAGGAAAATAGATTAAGCCAGTGGCTGTTTCATGGTTTTTTTTTTTTTTTCTTTCTAAAAAGCAAATGAATGGAAAACAAAACTTTTTATTAGGAGTGCTACATGGCTGTTTCATGGTTTTCCTTTTTTTTTTGCTTTTTTTTTTCTAAAAATATATGAGAAAAATAGGTGTAGTTGTTCATTGATTTAACCAAAGAGAAAATGAGAGAGGGATAAAAGAAAGGTTTATGACATGAAAAGTTAACAAAAATCATGTTTTGACATAAAAAAAAAAAAAAACCTAGTTTAAAAGCTAACAAACACTTAAATTTTTTTTTGATATGTAGTTTTTGAATACAATTAAAAAAATTCAAAAATCAAGTTTCTTTCGAATACGGATTGAGTTATCGAGAGAGAGTGTAATAGTAAAGCCACCACGAAAATGAAGCCAGTGGGCTACAAAAAATTGTTGTTTGACCAGTGCAAAGTTGAAAATCCATATGAATACTTTGAACAGTTAAATGGCGGTCCTGTTTCTGTCAATGTCCTTGATTCTTATTGCATCAATCCAACTTCAAGTTTCAAACAAAACCACATGGGTCAAACCGAGATCCATCTCATTCATCATGTTTTCGAAGCACCATTGGTTAAACTGGCCAAGTATGACGCCCAAACCAGATTGAAAATAAGATAAACTGGAACAAGCATAGAACACGAGCAAAATAAAATAAAATAAAATAAAACAAGCATACGAGTTGTGAGTAACTATATCTTCAAGTCCTACGAAGGGAATTTCAGCTTCAAAGCATATCGCGACAAGCCTGATTCCACGAGTTGTATAGCTTCTTCGATCCTTAACTCTTTAACCAATCCATCTATGAATGCAGCCCCAGCAATGAGCCGTCGATCCGTAGCCTCCTTGCAAAGCTCAAGTGCCATTTCCAACTCATTCTCCTTCCTCAGGAACGAAATAAGAGTAAGATAAGTAACCCGATCAGGTAAAAAACTTTTCTTCAGCTCACTATACCACTTCTTCACTTGCTCTAAATTCCCATCATTACAGTACCCCGTAATCAGAGCCGTGTAACTGTGAACATCAGGTTGGATTCCTTTACTCTCCATTTCCTCCCACATCTCAACAGCTTTCAACATCATATTCTCACTAACCAATCCTCTTAACTTTGAATTATAACTCCTAATATTAGGAACAACATTCTTCCTTTCCATTAAACCCCAGATTTCCTCTCCATCAGCAATTCGACCCTTAGAAAAGAACCCATCAAGCAGCGTGTTAAACGTAACTATATCGGGCCCTAATCCCTTCTTCTCCAATGTATCAACCACTGAAAACGCTGAATCCATAGAACCCATCTCACAGAAGGCCTTAATAACTGTGTTATAAGAAATCAAATCAGGCTCTATTCCCACCTTTTCTGGTAACTGTTCTAACAACTTTCCGGCCTTATCAAACTTCTTTGAATGAACAACCGCTGACAAAAGGGCATTAAATGACTTCACCGTACGGTCACATTTTAGTTCAGGCATCTCATCGAACAGTTTCTGGGCGTATTCGAACATGCCTGCTTTACCATAAAGCATAATGAGGCGGATTACAAAGCCTTCCTGGCAGATTTCTTTGTACTTCTTTTGGTGTTGGAGGATGTCATCGATTAAAGAGAATTGTTTTGCGGACGCGAGGCGGTGAACAGTCAAGGCGTAGGTTTTTTTGTAGTTGTTGCGGAATTTGTTGGATTCGGAGCATTGCTTGAATTTGCTGGCAAGTTTTTGCAGCTTGCGTGTTTCGGATTTGGATTTAGAGGAGGTTATGGCGGTGGTGATGTTGTTATCGGTAGTTGAAGAAAGAGAAGATGTAAAAAGGCCGACTAGACGACGGAAGGAAGAGGCTTCCGTTGCTTTGCTCATTTCTTATCTGGAGTTTGGTTTAAGGGTTGGGACGTCAAGGGGTCTTATTATATACTGTGTAATTTTAAAATCTTTAAGCCTAATATTCAAAAAAGTGATTTCAAAACAATAAAAAAAAAAAAAAAAACTGTGAAATTACGAATGCTAAAAAATAATAGTAAAAGATTTAATCCTTAATCTTTCGTTTCAAGTTGTTTAAATTTATTTGAAATTTACTAACCAAATATAATGACTTGGGCCATTATTAAAGCACGGGGAGTAAAAAATAGGACTAATATCTTCTAATTGCTTCCAGAATTATTACTATCACATTGAAAACCTTGGTAGAATAATTTTGATGTGGAGAGGATGATGTTAAAGAAAATGAAGGAAAAATCTGAACTAATCACTTGACCTAAATCACAGAAAGATGGGTACATTACATAAAGATGAAAAAGAGCTATGCGATCATTCAAATGCAGTGAGTGCTTAAATTGGATCAGAACAAGTCATGCTGATTAGAGAGTATGTTGCAGCACCAAAACATTCAAAACGAAACTGAACAGCCAAAAACCGAACCCCATCCTATTATAGTAGGGGGAGGGGGGGGTACAGTAGATTACATAGTACTACAAAATAGATGATATTCCAATTCTAGTCAAGCCTGGTTATCACACTGCACGTGCGTGCATGGAATGCCATCATTCATCAACTCATCAGTTCATAGGCACTGGAGAAGAACCAACCTTGTATAACTCAAGTTCAAGTAACACAAAATATGGATGGGTTGGTGTGCTTTTCCAGTTTTCCCTTTTTCATGTTGAGATTGCACAGATGAAAAGCAGATAGAACTGACACATGCCAAAATCATTCAATTCACTTTGATAGCAACATATAGCTACTATAAAATACCAAGTGCATAACAAAGTTGATTATCAAAGTTTCAGATTCAAAATTCAATTGATCATACAAAATGCCAAAGGTAACATGCACATGATAAATGAAAAAGCATAAAGTAAAAATCATTTGTGTACATAACGAATGAAAAAAGAGAGAAAGCGAAAAATTTTGGTTCAACTTCATTCACCTTTTTATATTCAATATTTAATCAATCATTTCTCTTTTCCACCTCTTTAACTTCGTTGAGCCCTTTTTTTTTTTTTTTTTAAGTCAATTTTTAATGACTTTTCTCTTACACATGAATCCTTTTTCTTTTATATAACAAATCTTTTAGGTTGAAGAGATAGAGATACGCATACCAAATGATTATATATATGAGAGAATTTTAATTTTTTTCTTTCTTTTTTTTTCCTCCACCTTGACTCCTAAGGTTCCCTCTTTCTTCATTCTTTCTGTTTTTCTTTTTTTTTTGTTGGTCTGACTAATTTTGAGGGAATTTGATTTGGTTTTTTAAGCATCAAGTAAGATAGCGTGCAATCAGGTATAGAAAGAGCTAGTAAAGTGGCAAGTCAACTCTCATTTAGGGTTGACAACGGATCGGATCGAGATAAATTTTTGTTCGCTTCGAATCTGATCCAATTTTATAACCATAAAATTTGAACTCGTATTTGACTTGAAAATTTTTTTTTTTATACCTGAATCCGACCTGAATTTGATATTGTATAAACCGTACCTGACCCGACTCGACTTGACCCAAAATTAATAAAATATTATTTTTTAAAATATAAAAATATAAATATATATAAATAAAAAATTAAAAAATATTTTTTATATAATATCGAGTCAGATCGGGTCGAGTTTGCCTAAAACTCGAACCTGACCCAATCTCGATTTTTTCTTAATTATACCATACCTGACTCGACCCAAAACCCAATTTAAAAAAAAAAACCCGACCCTATGGAGTCGGATCTGGTCGAAATACGCCAGTTCCGAGTTAAACTGCCAACCCTATCCTCATTCTAGTTTTAAACACAAAGTGACCGATACTCTCCAAAGGTTGTTCATTGATTCGTAAAATTTTTCCTTTTCTTTAAATCTTCGCCTTCCCACTTTTGCTTTCTTTTTTTTTTAAATGGTACCTTTTTTATTTTATTGAAAAAAACTAGGTGGGTAATTGAAGTAAATGGAGCTTTGGGAACTTTATATGCTTAGCTTCAGGTGGATTTCCCTGAACATTACCCTATGGAAGCCCCCTAGGTTTAATTTTTATTCAAAAACATATTTTTTCAAGTTTCTCTCTCTTTTCTTTTTATAATATTGCATTTTTTTTGTTTCTTTTTTAGGTTATTGATGGCAGGTAATATTTCTTCATCTAACACCTCTACATCCACATATTAATAGCAATGGCCATATTTGTTTAGGCAATAATCAATATTCATTTTTCATAAATCCTATTTTTATGTGATTATCGATTTCTCTAAGTTTTTTCATATATTTTTATCTTTTTTTTTTCTAACAATTGATAAGTCATGACATGATTTGTCTCTTTGCTTTCTCCTTAATTTTTATCTTGTTAGCTCAAAGACTTGGAATAAACCAAGAGGGGGGTGAATTGGTTTTAATAAAATTCTCAAGTATAATATTCAATAACCACAAATTATCAATATAAATAAGCACAATATATGAATATAAACAAGAGATAGGGTTAGGGAATTTAACACCAAGATTTATAGAGGTTCGGTCCTCTCTTAGACACCTACGTCCTCTCCCTTAGCCTCTCTTGCTAAAGAGTTCAATCCACTATTAGATGAAGATTACAACCAAGTTTTCACAAAGCTTTACAAACTCAACAACATACACTCTTAAGGGTTATCCTCCTCCTTAAGCTTACACACTCACAATACAAAAATTTAGAAGTGTTTGAAAAATTTTAAGAACCTCACAAAAGGTTTGGTGTTTGCTAAGTTGAAGTACACAAAGGTATAGATAAGAAAGTAAAGAAAAACTGATATGAATTCTGTACTTTTTCTCTTTTAACAGCTTTAAATGCTTGAGCAGATTGGTAGGTAAATAGCATTAAGTTTCTTGACTCTTATTTTTCTTGGTCTACAGTGGAATGCTTGATTTATAGTTAGAAAAAAGTTAAGAGCCGTTAGAATGCATTTAATACTTCAAACTTGCAAAAATTTTAGCAAAAAAATAGTCGTTGGGAGTTGTTAGCCTTCAGGGGATTGATCCCTTGTCATAGGGGATCGATTGGTTCATAGTAGAGAAGGCTCGATTTTGTGCCTGATTTGCCTTACCCGATTGATCCCTTTATGAGGGGATTGATCCTTTTTCTGAGTTTTCAAACTTGGGAAACATTTTATCTAAGCAACTGATCGATCCCTTTTAAGAGGGGATCGATTCCTTGCCTTAGTTGATCGATCCTCTATGTGATGGGATCAATCCATTTTTTGAAAACTTACACGATACAAACCTTCTGTATGAAAAAGTGATCGATCCGTTGAATAAGGGAATCAATCCGTTCAGGTTGAAACCCAAACCAATCGATCTCTATAGAGAGGGGATCGATTGGTTTTTGTCAAATCTTGAGAACTTTCGATTCTGGTTGAAAACAGGATCGATCCCTTTTGCTAGGGGATCGATCCCATCTATCAAAACTTGCATAAATCATGTTTTGTTTTGAGAATTTGAGTTGTTTTGATTCTCAAATGAATTTTAACAAGATAAAAGGGTGAACAAATGTTCAATTTAAGCTTAGACAAGATTGAAACAAATTTGGCAAATTTTTATTTTGTCAAATCAAAACTCTTAATCAATTCAAGGCCAACAATCTTTCCCTTTTTGATATGACAAAACCAAGTGAAAAATTTGCTTAAAAACATTTTTCCTTTTGAAAAAAAAGCTCCCCCTAAACTTATGAAAGGTAAACTCCTCTTGAATTTAGGCATAAGATTTAAGGCAACTAGGCAAGAGCAATATCACCATAACCATCAATATCAATATATCATCAAATTTTCATACCAATATTTCTCCCCTTTTTTGTCATAGCAAAAATGATGAAATAAAGTAAAATGAAACCAAAAGAGAGAAAATCAATTCAAGGCCACTTTAATCAAGAGTGCATTATTCATTATAACATCAAGAAATCCACTTCAAGGAACATTCATCATGCTAAGTTCACCTCTAATTGCATAAAATCTATCCTTATCAAGAGGTTTTGTGAATATATCAACTAATTGATGCAAGGTATCCATATATTCAAGTACAATATCACCTTTTTGAACATGATCTCTAATAAAATGATGCCTAATTTCAATATGTTTGGTTCTAGAGTGTTGAATTAGATTTTTGGTGAGATTGATGGCACTAGTATTGTCACATTTAATGGAAATATGATACATGGTTATTCAAAAATCCTCTAAATTATTACTTAATACATAAAACTTGGGCACAACAACTTTCGACTGCCACATATTCAGCTTTGGTTGTAAATTGAGTAATACTATTTTATTTTTTGAAAAGCCATAATATGAGCATATTTTCAAACAATTGAAAAGTACCAGAAGTGCTTTTTCTATCAATTTTGTACCCTTCAAAATCAACATCTGAATAGATATGTAAAGCAAAAGATGAACCTTTTGAATACCATAATCCTAAATTAAGAGTATCCTTAAGGTACTTCAAAATTCTTTTAACAGCGGATAAATGTGATTCTATAGGTGAAGATTGAAATCTAGCACATAAACATACACTAAACATAATATCAGGTCTACTTACAGTTAGATATAGCAATGAACCAATCATAGACTTATATAGTTTAGAGTCAACATATTTACCTTCTTTATCCTTGTCAAGTTTTGTTGAAGTGCTCATTAGTGTTAAGCAAGGCTTTGATTCTTCCAATCTAAATTTTATGAGCAAATCCTTAATGTATTTAGCTTTATTGATGAAGGTGCCATCTTTTGTTTGCTTTACTTGTAGTCTCAAGAAGAATTGAGTTCTCTTATCATGCTCATTTCAAATTCACCTTGCATAATCTTAGCATATTCTTGACAAAGAGTTTCATTAGTAGCACCAAATATAATATCAACAACATAAATTTGCAGTATGAGAATGTCCTTTCTTTTTGTTTTAATAAAAAGTGTAGTATCAACCTTCCCTTTATTAAAATCATTTTCTACCAAAAAAT